TTCTGTTAATAGATGTAAATACTGGGGGTTATGTTCCTTTTCTAATTTAGCTGACTGTGCTCATCTTTGCTGGTTGTTCGCTGCAATAGATTTGAACAAATACTGAAAGTAATTTCAGGCTTCTCTGTTTTCTGGTGGAAACACCATTTCTATGGAATTCATTCAGAGGATTCAGTAATTTTAACCAACCAGTGTCAAAAATGTCCTGAGTTGGAGTAGATTCTTAAATTCTTTATCTTCTAAGATTCTGCAAGAATGTAATTTAAAATCTATGTAAATTGAGATACGTATTACACACCATATGAAGTTAACTTTATCCGTGACATCATAACTAACAATCTTCAAGTTTTGCTGTTAAATCCACTTAAATTACAAATATTTTAACTAAAGGTTGTATTTGGTTGTAAAATACTGTATAGTGTATTACAATACAATGTTTGATGATTAATTTAAACTGTGAGTTCACTTCTCTGTTTAGCTTACACCTGAAGAATAGTACATAAATGTTGGCATTACTTTGTGCGTTCCAAGTATGTGGCATTTAATGATACATACACTTCTTTAAATGTTGGCTCGACCTTAAAAAACAAAAGCAGATACGAAATGTTTTGAAACTACCAGGGACAAATATATGTCCCTTAAAACCTTTCACCATTCTTGTGAAATATGAATATGTTTGGGTATGTAAAGACATGTCATCATACTTAGCATTATTTTATGGAGTTGATGGCATTTGTTCTGATCAGATGAGACAAATCCAAAACAAAAATGCTCCCAAGAACAGCATCCAAAACTGAAATCATATTCTGAAGTAGCAGCCAGACCCCTTCAGAAGGGAAATAATTACTTTCTGCTAAAATTATGCTGTTTGCAAACTTCATTGATCTGACTTTTGGCCACATCATGACATGCACTTACTTTTAACTTTTGGTGCAGTGCTGTTTTGAGGTCTTTTTCAGGTCTCCTAGTTTTCCTTTCTTTTGTATTTTCTGTTTACTTGCATTTTTCTGTTTCAGACTCTTTTTATTCCTTCCCCACACAAACATTTTTTTTTCAATTCCTTTTGGATTCTTTCTCTCTTCATACTTACTCAGAATGGACTTCTTGCCATTAATAATTAGTTCTCCTGTAGCTATTTCATGAATCTGTAGTTTTCTTTTCCATTGTTAGGAATAGAAGCATAACTATCACTACTTTCTTTAAAAAAAAATTCACATGCTCTTACATCGTTTTGCTTCAGGAAAACAGAAATATCAGTGAAATGACACAATTTTCTGTCATCAGTGAAATGACAGTTTTCTGTCATGAGGTCTGAAAACCTAAGACAGTAGGAAACCAGTATGAAGAGGTGATATCTCATTCTCTTTTTGATCTAAAGAAGAAATCTAATGTTGCCTAACCATTTTCTTCTGTTTTACTGTAAGTTTTTAAATACAGGGAAATGGCTTTAGAATCCAATTAAAGAATTGTTGGAACTTGCAGACAGCGAAGAAAGTAAGAGAATACAAATCAGAGAACTTCATATTCTGTGCTGTACCACAACAAATGCCTGACATCTTCAAAAGAAAATGAGGGAAAGGGCAGTTTAACCAGACAAGTCATTAATGATTGTGTATTGTGTCTTTGAAATATTAAGAGCAGAGTTTGCACTGTTACTAAGATGTATATGTAATAAAGGGTGCTTACCTTTGCTATGACATGTTGTAAAGGTCTCAAGACTCCTTGTTGATTATGTCAGACAGAATGTTTATTTAAAAATGGTGGTAATGTAAGCTATAGGCTGTGTGTGTATAAAAATGGGAAGTAGCCTACTCACATCCCTTATGTGAATATGTTCATCTGTGCAGAATGCGTTGAAAGTTACAGATAAAAACAAGAGAAGGAGCAATTTCTGTCTCAACAGGCTAGAAGGGCAAAAGTCATTTGCTGTGTTAACTTTCTAAAGAGCTGAGGACAGAAGCTGGAGGAAGCACAAGTTGTATTTCCAGCCTTCCTGCCAGCTCATGTGAAGATTCTATTCTGAGGGACTGCATCATTTATTAGGTTTAAGACCTAGGAAAGAAGTTAGATGGTAGTTATAACCTTTTTGAGGTTTTCTATTCTGTTTCTTGCTAACTTGCTTATTTAGACTTCTTTTAAAATTGTTCTTGGTTCTGTCTTTAAGCATGTTTGATGACAAGTGAATTAAGGAAAGGTTCCCAAATAGGAAGAGTGTTGTGTTTGTGTCTTACAACTGAAGGTGCCTTAATACTCTTCCTCCCAAAAGTCTCCACAGTCTTGCCACCTGATACGCTTTATTTGGTTTTCTTGGTGAGGTTTTGGGCACACACATGCACAGGTGCTAGTGGCTTCCCCTGTTTCAGGTGATAGGGAACTTTTTTCCTAAATCATGTGACCATTTTGAAGCCTAGTGTTGCAAACCATGGATATCTGGAAAGAAACGTAGCAAACATAGACCAGCCACCTACTGGCAAGAAGCAGAGTGAAGGCTGACTGTCTCGTGTTTCAGATTATCCCACTTTGCCTAGACAGCTGTCAGAGACTGAAACAGTTAATGGTTTATGCATTCTAGGATTGCTAAAGGACTTTTGCATTATACCTCTGATGGCCCATCAAAGCCCATCCCCCCCTGCCAATCTTGAAAGGTGGGAAAAACCCTTTTGGCCAGGCAGGCCCCTCAGGAAAACTCAGCACAGACCCAGGAGATGTTGGAGGCTCCTGGCATGGCCTGTGACACTAACCATGGATATAGTAACTCATAACTTCTTTGAGTGTGGGGGCTCCCCTCCTTCACCCCCAACAGACCAAGGCCTCCACTTCAACTGACAGACATGGAAGCTGCAACTACCAAGTTTCATCGCTGGACCCCGTGGGCGGTGACTTTAGACATCTTTCCACTCTCAGCTTTTCTTTCTCTTACTCTCCCTTACCCTTATCCTGTCTTTCCTTTCTCTCCCTTATGCATTTTCCCCCCCAGGGGTTATCCCTATGATAGATAATATAGATGACAACACCCAAAATGCTAACATACCTGTTAAAACAAAATTGTTAAAATAAACCCTACCTATATATGTTTTCAGACACCGATTATTCAGTGTTGTTTCACTCTAATCCACCCCAAGGGAATTATTGATGAGAACCTGGGTTACCCCCCTCCCCTTTTTCTGGGGTGGGTCGTAACAACAACCATATGAAACTTCATGTGGCAGAAGAGGGAACTGCTGATAAAAAGAAGGTGTGGAAACTTCAGATGAAGTGACAGGTTGCCTCAGTATAGCAGTTTATAGACTGTGTATATAGACTGTATCATCAGGACAAACTCAAAACCAAGCTGAAACCAAGGGTCTCAGTGCTTGTATGACAGGACATCCAGCCAAATGCTCAAGGCACTTGCTGATTACAGCTTGGGAAAGCACGTCTTGTCCCAGTTAAGTCCTGTTTGTTATATTCTGTGGAGATGAGATGACCTAATTTCTTTTAAGTCTGAGGTGGGACATTGATGCAAACATACTGCAAAAAGGATTCCAATTTTTATCCCAGCCCAATGTACTTCACAGGTGCAGTATGTTACATCCATGACTACACTGTATGCAGTCAGGGATATACTTTCACATTGTTATTGTTGAAATAGTGTTCTGCTTACTTTAGAGTAACAAAATACTGGTGTAGCCAGGGGATTAAGAGATTTCTAGGGTATAAAACATCTTGGGACTGAAATATGAATGCTGCTTCTGTTTAATCTTAAAAAAAAAAATACAGCCATGCAAGGAAATTTTCTGTAGCCTTTTCTGTATTTTTAAGTATCCTAGATCATCTCTAGACACCAAATATATCTGTCTGATGATTTATGAAATTCACAGGAAACCTCTGAGCATCTACACAGCTGATGAAGATGTTTTATAGTTGAAAAACCTGGAGATCAATCTGGTCCATACAGTAGGAAGAAATGAACCTATCACCAACAGCTCAAACAATATATTTGATGCATGCTCTCAATTCTGGCAGGGCGAAGCAATACCAACCAAACAGTTGAACCTTAATTTCTTACCCTAATTTCTTACCCTGTATTCATTAGCTGCTGGCAGCAAAAGCCATTCTGACAACACTAAATTTCAGCTGTAAATTAGTCATTTTCTTGATCTTTCTTTTTCATATATCCACGGGAAGTATCTGCCACCCAGAAGCTTTAATAAATAAACAGAACATGAATTTTGGAGGGGATGAAGGACAGCTGAATTCAGCCTGGATGTCTTCCACATCAGCGTTTATTTCTCAGACCTCTTCATTCATCCGTTTAAACCAGGCGAGAGTCTCCTGTGACTGGCTTGTTTTTTTTAATCTACTTCTAATCTTCTGTTAATGTCTCTTCCTCCTGTACTTCTCGGTTAGCTTTTCTCCCCCTCTCCTTTCTTGCACTTGGATTCCTTGTTACTGTAATTGTTACATGTTACTTCTGGCTGCACACTACAGTGTGAGCAGAGGGACAGCGGGAGCCGCTGGTGACATCGGGACCGTGCGGCTGCGCCTCGGCCGTACCTAGAACAAGCCCGGCAGGCGTCCTCCTTGCACCCTCCAGGAGCCCATCTTACGGCTTGCGGGGCTCTGGTGACCACCAAGCTTAGCCTCGAAGAAGGAAAGAGTGAAAAAAAAAAAGTGAACCTGGATGGCGGGGGTGCCGAGAAGGAGTGGAGTCCGACCCGGCTCCGTGGCACAGCCCGAAGCGGGGGCAGCCCGCTATTAGGCCGCGACCCCGCGACCCCAGTCATTTTATGTCGCCGCTGTCCCGGTGGGAGAGAAGCTGGGCCCGTGCCCAGCGAGGGTTTCGGGCTACGGCCAGCGAGTACCCGGCCGCGCTGCCAAGGACGCAGCACCTGGACGCTGCCCAGGTGGCACGGCACGGCACGGCTCTGCTGACGAGTCCCGGCCACGCCGCGCCCCGGGGCCGCTCCCGGGTTGGTGGGTTCGAACTGCCGCCCCCGGGCGGGCGGAGCGCGGGCGGAGGCGCCGCCGGCCGGCAGGGGCGCTGCGGGAGGGGGAAGCGGAGCGGCGGCCGTGCCATTCCCCGGCTGCGCGGTCGCCTCCTCCCCCTCCGCCTCTTCCTGGCCGCGGCGAGCGGAGCTGTGCTGGCAGCGGGGAGGCGGCGGCGCCGGCGCCCAGCTCCCGGCCCGCCATGGCGATCCGCAAGAAGAGCAACAAGAACCCGCCAGTGCTGAGCCACGAGTTCATCGTGCAGAACCATGCGGACATCGTGTCCTGCATGGCCATGATCTTCCTGCTGGGGCTCATGTTCGAGGTGAGGCGGCGCCAACGCCCCCGCCCGGGGTCCTCGTCCCGCTTCCCCCTGCTCCGCCGGGGGCTCTCGGTGCTGGAGGGGAGGGAGGGAGCGGGAGGGCGCAGGAGTCCCGATGCAGCGAGGGCCAGCGCCACAGCCTCCCGGCGCACCTGCCCGCCGCCCCACGGTGTACGCGGGAAAGGAGCGACTCCCGCCCCGCCGCACGGCCCGACCGCCAGAGCGGGCGCCCTCCCTGCGGTGCATCCTCGCTCCGCCGGGGGAACGCCCTCCTCCTCGGCTCGGCTCGGAGAGGCGCAGCCTGCGGCTGCCGCCAGGACCCGAGTCCCGCTTCCCCCCGCCGCCCTGGGAGGGAGGGAGGGAGGCCGTGCGGGGCCGGGCAGGGGGTGGGCGCGCTGCGTCCCTTGGCGGCGGCGGGGAGTTCCTGCGGGCGGCGGGGTTACGTGGCAGACGGGAGAGGGAGGAGGAGTGCGCGGCACGGCGAGGAGGGGGCGGGGGGCGAGGCCCGGCCGCCACAGCCGATCCCCCGCTCTTTGTGTGGCGGCCCCGCCGGCACTACGGCTCCCGTCGGGCGGCGCGGCGGGAAGGGAAGGCAGCGGTGACGTGTCCCTACAGCAGCGCTCGGGTCCCCCTGCCCGCGCCCCCGCGCTGCCCGCGGAGCATCCCAGCACTCCAGGCGGTTCGAGGCGCCGCTCGGATGGCGCTGGTCACCCCTCGCTGCCACCTCCCGCCTCGGAGGTGGGCCGAGGTTTGGCAGCGGCAGAGGGGAGCTCTCCCTTCGGCCTGAGGGCCGGCCCTGCTGCGGGCCATGCGCTCTCTGGGAACCCATGTTGAATGCAGATGTTTTAAAACGTGCCTTTTTGGCTCTTCTCGATTACCTTCTGAGAGAACTGAAAAGGTGACTTACCTGTGTGACTGCCAAAATGTTGTCAATGATCTGAGGTCATTGAGACTGAGATCACTGAAACTAAGATAACTGATCATCAGAGTAAGACAGTTCATTGGCTAAGTGTTTCTGGCTTTTTGGTATTTTAGACGTTTGTTTAGACACGTATTTGGGCTTTATTTTAGATATTTGTTTAGGGCTGTGGACCTTTTTGTTATATGGGTGGTTTTCAGAGTAGTTTTATCCAGCCATTGGTACTGCTCAGCACTAAGGCCCAGTGGAGTTAGGAAAACCATACATATATATGTATGTATACATATATACCCAAAAAGTAAAAACAGGACAGACCAACAAAGGTGTTATGTTTGAGTTTGCTATTAGAAATCACCAAGACACCACCAATATGGTGGTTTTCTGGGGAATGACATTAAAGAGGTGGACCTAAACATTTACCTTTTATGCCTACTTCAGAGTTACTGTATTAACAGTATTATTGATAGGGTTGGAAGTTTTGGGGGGGATTGGATGTGTTCTGAATTCTTTTGTTTCCAGTTTTTTTAACCCATGTTTTTTCTGGTGTAGAGAGGCCATATATCTTTGTTGGTACAGATGTGATGTGGCTGAGAAGATTGTAGCAATTTTTTTAAGGCTTTGATATAGGTCTTGGAAATCACCTACTCTGCTTGATGTTGGTATGGTAAGGTGTTTATACTGCCTGATTTGTGCAATTGAATTGGTACTGAGAGTAGCTGACAGGGCTTCCAAGGACAGTTGAGAATTGACTAGTGTTTTGAATTGTCCTCTGAGGGCTCCCTTGATGGATAGGGAGCCCGAGGTGATCTCGCTAATTTAGGCAAACTAGTTGGATACCCCGAAGTTACACGGACTGAACAGTCTGCCATGTATTCAGGGTTTCATAGAAAATCTAGGGCTTGTTGACAAAGAGCTGCTTTTAAAACTTAATCTCATTTCCCGTGAATGATAATTAATGCTGGTAGTAACCTAATAATTATTTTCAGATACTCAACGTATCCTTCCAGGATTCATAAAAGAGCTTGTTTTTTTCATTGGCCCTATGAATGCCACAAAGACACTAGGTTTTTACAGCAATAAAAAACTATCAGATCACAAATGCTGTTGTAAAGCACAGTTATTTTTCCTTATGTTAAGACATGTTGTTTCATGTTGGAATTCAACTAAGATGCATTAAAGTTAAAAATAAGTTTATGCTTTTTGACAAATAAGAACTTGTACTCCTGCTTATTTACTAGGCTTTTTAGGACAAACATCCTCCCTCCAAATTGCTTTTATTCATTCTGCTTTTTCTTACAACCAGTCATAAAGGAGTAGTACCGCTACTGCTAAATTTAATCACATTTGTTTTACGCATCTTGCCAAAGGATCCCCAAGGTCAAAAGAATGCTAATTGTATTGAGTTGGTATGCCACTGGCCTGAAATGGTTTTCTGTTCTTTATGCTTTTTTTCCTTCCCTGTCCACATTTTTCAGATCACTCACAGTTTTATGAATATGATAATTGACTTTCAAATTTTGTCAAATAAAAAAAAGTATTTTTAAATAAAGTTTATTCTCGGTCATTGCTGAATGCATCACGGTCTGGGGGTTCCATGATATTGTATGGTCTGTTAATGTAATAATACAGTATGGACTGAGGAAAGCATTGTAGCATGTTTTCATTTTAATGTTGTAGGAAAGACTATTTGTAAGTGGCATTTTCAAGGATATTTCATTCAGGAGGTTTGATATTCTGTAAACAAATCTATATAGACCAGGCAGTGTGTGCTGCCTTTGAAAAGTCAGGTGAAGCGGTGTGATAACATGATCACTTTTTTGGGAGGGGACAGATGTGCTGGGCAAGGGTGCTAAATGTATTGGCATATGTCTTCAGTTTAATGTAGCTTACTTCCATGAGAATTTGTTTTTTTCCTCTTTCAGATTACAGCAAAAGCAGCTGTCATTTTTGTTACACTTCAGTATAATGTTACCATTCCTGCCACAGGTATGTATCTTGCAGGAGGTTAGTTATGAGACTGTGTATTCAGACATCATTAGTATGCCATGCTTTCTAGACTGACAGTAGGTGAATTTGTCAATTTGAATAGATAATGAGCAGCTTTCAAGGATTTCACTCTGTTAAAACTCCATTTTAATTAATTAGGTTAGAGACAATGTTTCTGTTCTGATATATTCATCATTAGTGCTAAAACACCATCTGACTGGTAGATAAGTTCACACAGATTCTTACTTTGGCTTTGCAAGTGACAGTCTTTAATAGTCAAAGTGGGGTGATAGCTTAACATTTTTATCGTCTGCTTTCAATGTGTTTGGGTAAGCTTCCTAAGTGCACTTAAGTTTTTTGTTTTATAGTACTTCTTTCCAGAGTCAAAATGAGTTTGTGATGTGATGGAGAAAACTATAAACAATCTAGTGACCTAGTTTATGGTGGCAGTTTAATTTGACTTTTATTTGTTCAGCTGACTACAAGGTAACTTCTGTGAAAAGTTTCACTCTGAGAAACAAATTTATTAGCCATTAAACTGTACTGATGCCTAACAGTTCATTCTGTTTGCCTTTTAGAAGAACAATCTGCAGAAACAATCTCTCTCTATCACTATGGCATCAAAGACTTGGCTACGATTTTCTTTTACATGCTTGTAGCAATAATCATACACGCTATAATTCAGGAGTATGTACTGGATGTAAGTACAAAATATTAATTCCTTTCATCAAGAAAATAGTCAGGTTTTAATTAGACCTTTAGACTATTAACTTAAAAGTAAACTTCTGCATTAAAGCTTTTAACTGTAAAAACATGCATTAAAACTTTTAGATGTTCTAATGCAGTTACCAGGTAAATGTTAAGTACTGCAGCATATAAATAACAATGGATTTTCATTTCAGAAAATTAACAGGAAAATGCACTTTTCAAAAACAAAGCATAGCAAGTTCAATGAGTCTGGGCAACTTAGTGCATTCTACCTTTTCTCCTGTGTTTGGGGAACGAGTATTCTTGTCTCTGTAAGTATACCTCCTCTTCTGTTTGTATTATGTGATTTCAAAAGCTTCACTTAGACTGCTGATAAATATGGTTTTGGCTTATTTTTCTGTTTTTAGCTGGTTTTAATTTTAAAGTGGGGACAAGTTTAAGAATTCTGTGTAGGTTGTAGTCATAACTGAGTGTAAAGTCCAGTAGTGTTGCTGTTGCTGAGTCTTGAGTGTATTTACTGTGAACAGAGTAAGGTAAAACCATTTAACTATTATGGTACTTAATTCTCTGTAGTTTTTTTGTGTTGGCTTATTAACATAAAATAAATGTTTAAAAAGCACTATATGTAGCATTTTGGAGCCTAGGAAATGGGTATATGGGCCAACTGCTGTAGTCTGAAGTCAATGTGTCCTTTCAGGTTAAAGCTAGTGGCTGAATGTGAAGGGAAAGAGTATTTTTTTTCTTTTCCTTTAATATAGTAACTCCTGGAAAAACTTTCCTTTTATTAGTTAAACTCAAAACCTGTCAGCAGTTTACATTAGAAGACTTAGGGCTGTAGAGATGCTGAAATAACTTCCATCTCATTCTATATGGAACAAACACATGATTTGATTGGTTGTTTTTTATTTTCCTAAGCCAGTACTACTGTCTTTTGTTTTGGGGAGTTGTTTTTTGGGTGGGTTTTGTTCTGCTTATTTGTGATTTCTTGGGTTTAAAAAAAAAATTAGATCTACAGCTTTTACTTGTATATGTAGATGTGTACACATGTGTTTGTATGTACACACGTGCATATACATAAATGCATACATGTATTTCCAGTCATTATTTCTGACTAGAAAGTAACATCTCTGAGAGTTTATTGAGAGGTTTTGTTTGGTTTTTTTCTTCTTTTAGGAGAACTATATATCAGATCCAACCTCTCTGTGGAGGGACTATCCGCACACACTGATTCCGTAAGGCCTCTTCCTTAGAGGATTGCTGGGCGAGAGGAGGGGGTGTTTTAAACTTAGCTTGTGTCACGTACAATTTGTGTGGAATAAGTAGTTTGTAAAACTGTATTAGTCACTAATGCATTTTTGGTTGTATTTACGTGGCCTCTTGATTCTTTGACAATTGTAGCATACAAAGTTCTCTTTCTGTAGGCTGTTACTTAGAGAATTAAGTTTTTGCAAGCTTTATCTCAATGATTTTGATTTTTAAAATCTTAGTTTAAAGTTGGCTGGCAGGAAGGATCTGTATGTTTTCTTTCTTTAAGAGACAGTGATAAAATGTGTTCACTAGAAGGTTTCTGAAATGTTTTAATTTTATTCATAATAAGTAATGTGGTTCAATTCTTACTGTATTGCACAGGTTTCAAATGAAGTTTTTCTACATCTTACAGTTGGCATATTGGTTTCATGCTTTTCCAGAATTGTACTTCCAGAAAACTAAAAAAGTAAGTTCAAAATGTAAATGGAAGGAACTGCAGAGCAAGCAGCTCAAACAGTGGAGTAGTTAATTTGTTTTGAACTTCCAGAGTAATGAGTTACCCTAGATTTCCTACCCTATTCTGATTTGTGTTACTCACTTTTCTTGATGGAATTTGGGGTGCTCAAATGTCCATGTGAGAAAGGGGTCTTTTTTCATTTTAGTTATTTCAGTATTTCTAATTGCAGTAAATATTTCAGTATTTCTAGTTACATTAAAATTGTTGTATATCTGTTGTGTAAATAAAAATTACTAGTGTTTCTCATCTACTGAAAGAATTTTCCCTTGAGGAAATGAATGTGAGATTTTCTTTTCAAACTTTTTTTTGTTTCTCATAATTGGTAGTCTGAATAGTCTCATTGAAATCACAGCTAGTTAATGAATCATGATATAGGTGTAGAATATAAGCTGTGAATAATTTTATAAATCAAAGTGGTATTAAAGTCTGGGATTTGATTTAAGTACCACTATCCTCTGCAGAAGTTCTGCTTAGTTATGTATTGATATTTTTTTCAGTTCTCAATTTTTAACAGCAGCATTTTTTCCCTGAGGGTTTTCTGTGTTTGGGTTCTCATAACACTGAGTTCACTTCAGATTTTTTGTAGCACACTTCTTGCCTTCCTGACCAATTTAAGTAGGCTCTTCGCATGTTGTTGCTCATGATCATTTTGCATATACATTTTCCTGCTTAAACTTTCCTGTTTTAAACTCTTCAACATGGCTTCACCAAAGGCAAATCGTACTTGACTAACTTAATGGCTTTCTATGGTGGAGTGACTGCATCAGTGGATGAGGGAAGAGCTGCTGATGTTATCTACCTGAACTTCTGTTAAGGCTTTCCATAGGGTCCCCCACAGCGTTCTTATTTCTAAATTGGAAAGAGATGGATTTGATGGATGTACTGTTAGATGGATAAGGAGCTGGCTGGATGGCTGCTTCCAGAGAGTTACAGTCAGTGAGTCAATGTCCAAGTGGAAACTAGTAACAAGCAATTTTCTTCAAGGATCTGTACTGGAACCAGTGCTGTTTGGCAGTTCATCAGACAAAGGGATCGAGTGCACCCTCAGCAAGTTTGCAGAGCCACCAGGCTGAGTGTTGCAGTTGATTTACTTGAGGAAGGGGTGCCATCTAGAGTGTCCTGACAGGCTTGGACTGGGTCCGTGTGAACAAGGCCAAGTGCAAGGTCCTGCACGTGGATTATAGGAATCCCCAACATCAATAAAGGCTGGGGATGAATGGATTGAGAACAGCCCTGCAGAACACTTGGGGTACCGGGGATGAAAAATTGGACATGAGCTAGCAATGTACCCTTGCATCCCAGAAAGCTAGTTGTAACCTGGGCTGCATAAAAAGCAGTGACCAGCTGGTTGATCTGCCCCTCTACTCCACTCTGGTGAAACCCCACTTGGAGTACTGTGTCCTGCTCTGGGGTCCCCAGCACAGGAAAGGTATGAATCTGTTTGAGCAGGTCCAGAGAAGAGCCACAAAGATGAACAGAGGACTGGAGCAGCCCCCCTGTGAAGACAGGGTGAAAGAGTTGGGGTTGTTCAGCCTGGAGAAGAGAAGGCTCCAGGGAGAACTTATTGTGGCCTCACACTGTTTGAACTGGCCTTACAAGAAATATGGAAAGAGACGTTTTATCAGGGCCTATAGTGAGAAGACAAGGGGCAATGATTTTAATCTGAAAGAGGGTGGGTTTAGAATAGATACAAAGAAATTCTTAACTATGAAGATGGTGAGACACTGGAACAGATTGCCTGGAGAAGTTGTGGGTTCCCCTTCATTTGAAGTGTTCAAGGTCAGGTCGGATGGGGCTTTGAGCAACCTGATCTAGTGATAGAAGTCCCTGCCCATGGTAGAAAGGTTGGACTAGATGATGTACAAGCGGCTCTTCAAGCCCAAACGATTCGGTAACTGTTGTTGCTGTGTGACTAGGCTATATCTCTGCTGCCAGAGTTTATTCAAGAAAAGGAAACATAGGTGTTATGTAAGCATAGGTCTTTGTTTAGGAGCCTAGAAGAGGCTTAGTAAAATAGTAATGAGATGCATTGTTTTTATGCTGGTCTGATGCAGTATAAACACTGTTTTGCAGATGCACTGCAGCTCATGTTCCCATATTGTGCTAATGGTATCTCTCAAATGTAACTTCATGGCCAAGTCTGGAGATTTTTTTTTAACATAAGTTCAAGAAAGCTGTCAGAAGTGGCCTAAGTGCTGTACGTTGAATAATAGTGTTTTATCGCGTCAGTACTTGAAATTTTGGCCTCTGACTTTTGCATTAAGTTTAAAGAATAGTTCATTTGTTTTAGCAAGTTCATAGTTGATATTTCTTTCACCATGGCTTAACCTCTGCCATCTTGGCTTCCTTGCTTTATTCCGTCTCTTGAAGGAACTGGCTGCATTTACTCAGGTCTAGTTGTCTTTACTGCTGACACAGACAGGGGAAGAACTTCTTAACTCCGGTCCTCTGTATAGGTGTGTATATCTCCGGTGGCGTTATTCCAGTAGGCCTTCAGTCTCCGCCAGTTTGTCTGAGCGGGCAGCACAGGCTGTTGAAACGTTACCTCAGTTCTGAAGTTAGTGTAAAAGGCTTCTCCTGTTAGTAGTTGGAGAAACTAACTATTTGTACTGTCTATTCTCTAATTTATCTCAAATAAGTATTTTTTTTTGTTTTCTTTCAGATAATTTAGAGTAGGTCTTTGTTCATCTCTTTTCTTACCCTTTGTGTATGGTGCTTTGTGTGTGGAGTTTGCTGTTGTCAGAAGTGTTTGATTCTATATGTTTGTTGGATTTGAGATTGAGTATTGAATAACATACTATAGATGTTACAAGATTAAAATGTTAGGCCTTTTTTATTTGCATGTATACCAGATAAAGCTGAAGATCCTTGAACTTTAGGGGATTTTTCAAAAAAAATAGGAGTTTCTTAAGCACAACTTGAATGTACTCTGCATATTGCTTCAAAACAGGTTTTTTTTGTGATCTGGCATACTTTAGTGATTCTTCTGTTCACAGATGGCACAATCTGCTTTCCATGTGCTGTGTGTCTCCCTCTTTATTATTTTGTCTCCATGAAGTGTTCAATTTAATGGAACTGGCTAAAACCTGAATTGAAGTGTGACCATGAGGTTTGGCATGACTAGTTAATAACTATATTCTCTGTTTTTGCCAGCAACAGTGTGCCAGAATTTTGAATGTTCTTGAATTTTTAAAATCAACGCCAACACTAGGAAAAGTTTTCATTTTGGTTTGGAGACTGGTTTTTTTTATTTCTGTAGCAATCTGACAATCTGATTAGCAGCAAACATGTGGAACTGTAGGAGCTGATGATACAGTTATATGTATACAAAATAAGTATTGTAATAGCTTGTACAAATTCACAGGAGTCCTAACAAATAAACCTGGGCCCTTTTAAAAAGCATCTTTTTCATGTTTGATGCATTCTCTCACAGTAGCATATGTGCAAGATTCTGAATATTATTGCTAAGTAAGCAATAAGTTATGTGTGGAATTAGATGACCCAGGCTGAGTAATTCAGTGCCAGGCCAGACCAGGCCATGTTAAGGTAATTGATAAAGACAGAAGAATTTCCAAGACTAGGGAATAGTAATAATAGATAACATTGTACCATACTGTATAACATTGTGTATAAGTCATGGTTGTTTTTTTTCTTCCTAATAGGAAGATATCTTTCGCCAGATTGTCTACATTGGACTTTACCTCTTTCATATTGCTGGAGCCTATCTCCTGAAGTAAGTCAATTGTAAACTTTTTCTGGCTTCATTCCCTTTCTTAAACATGTAACAAAATGTCTGAATGTTTGTTTTATTTGTTTTGATAGTCTGACCCATCTTGGACTTGTTCTTCTGGTATTGCATTACTTCGTTGAATTTCTTTTCCACATATCCCGTCTTTTCTACTTCAGTGATGAAAAATACCAGAAAGGGTAAGTAGTCTTTATATTTTAAATTCATCTAATTCCTATCTTAAAGCCTTTTGCATTTGACTAGCCAGAAACCAAAATTACAAGGAAGTTCAAACAGTTTTTCTTAGAGACCACAGTTCTCCAGAATAGTGTTAGCACTTATATCTCTTAAACAACTGTTTTTTTAACCTTGTTTTAGCCTGTTTAAGTAAATGTTAGTAGCAGTATAAAAATGAAATAAAATCTCACAATGTGTACTAATTTATTTTTTTTAAAGTTTTGTAGAGAAAGGAACAGGATAGGTTCAGTATCCTACAGCCAGTGCTGTAGGAATTAATAACATGCTTATGTTCTAATAGTACTGGAAAGCACTTTCCATTGAGTTGAAATTAGTTTTCAGAACATAATGCAAGAGTCATGTGGAATAGGTGCAATGAATTTAGGTAAGTTCTTATATTCCAAACAAATTTGCATGGTGAAGGGTAAACATTTGTCTTGTTAGTGCATGTGTTTTGAATGGAAAATTCATTTAGTGTTTGTGGTGTTTTTATTTCTAGATTTTCACTATGGGCAGTTCTTTTTGTTTTGGGAAGGCTTCTCACCTTGATTCTCTCAGTCCTCACTTTTGGCTTTGGACTAGCAAGAGCAGAAGATCAGCAGCTGAATTTCAGTACTGGAAACTTTAATGTCCTGGCTGTTAGGTATAGTAAACCTGAAACAGTTCTTAAGCATGTACTGTAAACCTGTGTTAGATACACAATATAAATGGTATGGTATGGTATTAATGCCAGTAATTCTGAATGATTGAGTATTTTCATGCAACTGATGGAATCAATGGGAATAGCTTGTGTAACAAACTTTTAAACCACAGTGAAATGAATTATTTACAGTCTACAGCTGAGAAATCTGTAACTGGTTACTCTTCTTTGTCAAAAGACACCCAGAATTAAAAGGAATATTCAATTATAAACACTAATTTTAAATGTTTCAGATTTAGTAAATTGAATTCTGGATATAATTGCAGTGAGTTTATCTATAGAGGTCAAGGTGGAATGTCCAGAGCATCTTTGGTCCTGGTTGAAGATTTGTGCCTCTCTCTCTGTTGTTGTTATGGCTCCTGTTCTTGCAACATGATGCAGAATGTTCTGCCAACCACCTGGCCTTCTTATGAATTAAATCTAGAAAAGGAAGGTATTGAAACATTGGCAATGTAAGCATTACCCTGTAGAACTGATACTCAGAATGGCAAGACACTCTTAAACCATTTTCAGCTGTTGCTGCCTGGTACCTTGAGAGTAATTCTGAAAAAGAGAGCAGGAAATAAACCTAGTGCTTCCCAGTTTTGATGGGCAAAGACTTCACTATCGCTGTATATCCAGTTTTGATCATCTGTGCTTAAGCCCAGTCGTGCTGTGGGAGCAAACACTTGCATGGCTTAGCAAATGGATGTTACTGGGAGGAAGGGGTGGAAGTTGCCAAAAAAAAATAAAAAATAACCTGAACAAAACTGAACTTGTAAAAATTCGTGTTATCTAGAAAGAATCACTCTAATGCGTGACAAACTTACTGATAAAACTTCACTTGTGTTTTGTTTCTAGAATCAGCGTGCTGGCCTCTATCTGCATGACTCAAGCATTTATGATGTGGAAATTCATTAATTTCCAGCTTCGGAGGTGGAGAGAGCATTCTTCTTCCCAGCCTCAGTCAGTGAAAAAGAAGTTTGTATCAGCTAAAGGAAAGACCTCCAGAAAAGAAAGAGGTTTGTAGTTGCAGTTTTTCTGTTGCCTTGACTTCTCAAAAACAACCTTAGGATGTGCAGAGCCTTTTTTAATAGAGTTGCTAAAGAAGCATTTTATATTTAACTTGCAAGTGAGAGGACTCCGTTACAGAAACAGTATTGGTGAATGCTACTGTGGGGAAAAATGATTTAAAAAATACACACTATATATTGTTTGGATTTTCTAATTGCCCAAATGAAGGAATTACTGTTTGTAACATGATATTTTTATTATCTTTCATTTCAGTTCTTGAACAAAATATATGTCATGCTTATGTTTTTTTCACTTATAAAAAGGGAACAGACACAATTTTAGATCTGTTCTCATAAACAATTATTTGTAAAATTTTCTTGCAATTAATTTCAGGCTTGTTGTTTATTTTCAGAAAATTCTGAGGTTTTAGGGCAAAGAGATGGTTTGATGATCCACTCAGTAAATAGTCTTGTGTTGGACTGTTTTTACAAAAAATAGGATTTACTAGTTGTCTAAAGGGAGGTAATAACTACTTACTAGTCTAAATCTGTGTTGAAGCATTTGGAAATGTACTGATGGCTCCAGGTTTTACTTTTTGATTATGTCACAGTCTTTTTATAGAAAGGGCATGAAAGATGAACTGAATGCTCTTTCCTCCAAGAAAAATTATGTCCTCTTTTAAAAATAAAGTTTCCCCATACTTCAGTATTTCTGTTGTACCATCAGTTAAGCTTCTGTGTACTTAACTGCTAGCTTGAATAACTTCTGGACTTTTTTGAAACTGCTGAAGTTGTTTCAAAAGCTTTTTTCAGCATGATCCTTTCTCCCAATCATGTATTACCAATTTGTTCCACCTTTTGATATATTGAACATAGTGTGTGTGAAGACCATTTGCATCAAGAACTGAGATTTGTGGTGGGTGATCCATTTTTTTTTATTTCCCCCAAGTTTCTTTTTTATTAAAAGGATGTGCTTTAGATTTTTTGCTGCACTCCCTTTAGATGATTTGTAATTATCACAACTTGGCTTCTGTGTGGTGTTGGGGTTTTTTGTTTTCATCAGAAAATACAGGGGGATTTTTTTTATAATTGAGTGAAGGTAGTTTCCTATGTGAAAGTGTCCTATTTAATCAGAAGTGTCCTATTTAACCAGAGCTCCGTGTTCATTGCATACTCACTATGGTGTTTCTTTAATGTAATTGAAGTCTTTTATGTCAAATAATTTTAAAATATAAACTTTAATGGTGTTTTAATCAGTGAGTCAAAATCTCCTAATCTATTTCATTCATATAATTTGATGAATTTGCTGGGTTTCATCCCAACTTCAGTGGACACTTGCAAGCGGTAAACGAACAGTGAAAAAGTCAGTTAATTGGAGTTGTGGTTTAATTCACAAAATAATTGAGCTGTACCTGTCTTGAGACTGAAGGATTTTTTTGTTTATTTTAAATAGAAAGAAAAGAACTCTGTTCTTTCTTATTCTTCTGTTTTGAGTGTTCCTGTAATGTTGTCTGTTCAGAACACTTGCACAGGATGCAGCAAAACTGTGTTTTTGAAAGAGTAATATATGTAATTGAACTGTTTAAAACACTCTTTTGTGTTCCACCTATTTGAAGTACTCTTTCCATGTACGCATACTCATTGCAAATCTGAACTAGTGTTTTCCTTCTGTCCATCTTTTAAAGTATATGCTTTAAAAATTGTATGTGCATCTGTAGATAAAGGCTTTCCTATATATGTGAAATACTTGTAAATGAAGGAGTGTAATTTTAGCAAGAATTTCTAATATGAAATAGGTGGAACAAATAATTAAGACCTATACAAGGGAATTGTGTATATACTTTGTCTCCAAAATTTCACAGAACGTCATCTGCAGGTTGTGTTTTACTTTTTCACAAATATTGTAACTAGTCTTGATTTTTCAGTCTTGGTGTATATAATGCACATATTTCAGTGTCTGGCCACATCAGCAAACTGGAATTTATTGTAGTAAACTTTAAATTTTGCACTTTGTAAAAACTGTGTTATACTGTTGCATTCCTGATGATAATTATGAGGTTTAATGAAGAAGATAAGTCAGAAAATAATTTAAAAGACTGTTTGTATAGGACCTAGAAAAAATGTAAAAAAATATAAAACATCTCATTGTATTTGAAAAATGTTTTCTTGTTTTGTAGAAAACGGAATAAATGGAACAGTGACCTCAAATGGAGCGGACTCACCTCGCAGCAGGAAGGATAAATCCTCGTAAAACTGGGGTTTATTAAGTTAATTGACTAATGTCCCCAAAGAATCTGCTTTTTACATGGATGGCTCTTCAGCACTAGAGATATTATGGATTAAGGAAAATACAATTCATGTTTTTTGATTATTGATGTTGTTTTGAGAAACTTTTTTTAAAAAGCCATTTTGACTAAGGAAAAAGGTTTATCTCTCTTCAAATACTTGAGGGGAGGATTCAACACTTTTTAAAAAACATTGACGCTTTTTTAAACATTTACTGTGATGAAATAACTTACTTAATGAGGATCACTGTTGCAATGTATTATTTCCCTCCAGTTTTTGTAATCTTGGTGATATATGATGTTCTACCAACTTCACTTTTTCCAAGTTCCTCAAGAAGTATTACAAAATTGAAGTAAAAACTTAGTATACATTTTCAGATACTCTGGCTTTTCAGTTAATTACCTTGACTCAAATTTGCATTTCAAATTGGGATTCCAAGACCACACCAATAGACCTCTTTATTTTGTAGTTACTAGCTGCACAATGTCTGCTCTTAGAATTGCCCCATATCATTAAAACAGAACTGAAATAATCGGAAATGTTGCAGAGTCTTATTGTTTGTTGGTTAGAAATCTCTTACAAGGAACAAAAAACCTTTCTGAGATATAGCTTTTAGCACTTGAAAATTAGAAGGGAGTGTGTATGATCATAGGAAGAGTTGATTTCAGTAGCACTGTTCGCTTCTGTGTGTGCTTTTAAAGTGTATCTTGGAGAATTAGTGTGCGTTGGACCTTCTTTAAAAACTTGTCTGGCCGATTTTAGAGGGTGGAGGTTCTTACAATGTCTTGTGTTTGTTTTGGGAGGCAATTAATGCTCCATGAAGAGGGAATTAAATAAATGGATCAAGTTATGAGAAACATTCCTTTATTCTAACTGCTTTGCTTTGTTTCACCTCTGTTAGGAATAGTTTGATTTCTCCTATATATGTTTTTATGAAAAAATATTTAGAAGCTACAACTTCTTAAAACTGATTTATTGTGCCCTTTGCTACAACTGGAAAAATCTCAATTTAAGAATTCTTCCATTATCTTTTAAAATTGTATTCAATGTGAAGCTTCATCCAGTTAGTTTTCCAGTTTAATATGCAGATAATGTTTCCTCTGTACACTTTTGTAATGGATATAATTCAACCCATTGCACTTGAGAACGAGTGAGAGATTTATTTGAGTCTTAAGAAGAAGTTGCTAAATTAGTCTATCAAGGTAACCAAAGTATTGAACTGCTTATTGATTGAGGATAATTATGAGCAATCAAGCTGATAAATAAAATAATTTTAATTAAAACCTGTTATTATAATTGAATTTATACCCAACAGAGTAATAAATCTGCATTCTGTATCTTCTACAGTTCAATTGCTTACTGTTCAGAATAAACGTTTCCAGTACAAAATATTCTCTACAAGTAACTATCCATTCTTCGATTGTTTAGTACTATTTAGAGTTATTGCAGTATAATTTATTATATGTTTCCGCTAATTACAGTCACGGTTCCCAAGTATTTGGTTCACACCTCCTGAAATGGACTTGGCAGACTTATACTTGCTTGGCTTGAGAACTCTAGAGCAGCATGCCCTGTAATGTGCCCAGTCTGCTTCAGTAGAAGTAGCTATGCCATGCCTTGATTTGAAGTGGTGGAACTGTGAATCTGTCTGATTCTGGAAATCTGACATGAAACTGGAAAATTGGAAATCAGAAATTTTGAGAGAATTGTATACATTATATACCTGCTGCCGAAAATCACATTTCAAGTCTGATGTTTCTAGAAAGACCTTCACAAATTCTGTGTGCCTTGCTCTCAACTTGTACCTTAAGCCAGGGGGGAAAATTTTAAGTGTCTAGTCTGGTACTTTGACTCTAAATCGGTTTGGTTGTGATATCCGGTTGTACTGGGGCTCTCAGAATCATAACACGTGGAGGAACAAATTATGAAGGGAACATCTAAGGTACTTCTTGAGATCTTTAAGACTTATAGGAGAGTTGTAATAGTTGTTTCCCTAAGGCAAACTGTTTCTTGTAAACCTCATTCACAGTAGTCTTGAAATGCAAACTTCAGGTTAATTTCCAAAAACTTCGAAAGAATATATTCTTGACTGTTAATACTGACATTGCTTTTTGTCTCCTTTTGGCCTTATGGACAGAAATTCTTGGCCTTTGGACTTTAACAAAAGCACTTTTGTTTCCACAATGACTTAATCTTCATCCTTGCCTTATAGGAGTTGTCGCTGTCTGCCAAGTAATATAGAATAATAACAGTTGTTCTAGAATTTGGATAGAGTATTGGAAGCCAGTATCTTCTGTCTTTTGTATCATAACTAAAAATACATAATTATTATGTTTGAGGCAAAAGCAGTGATTTAGAATTTTCTACCTTGGAATGGAAACACTCATAAACTTCTAAGATTTTGAGACTTATGTTTCCAGTTTGATATTGCTTGTTTTAGCATAAGATTATTGTCTGGCTGGATAATTTCTTTTTAATTGCTTAAAACTGGTTTTTAAATGTTACTGCATTTTTTGCTCTTTGCTTGTAATCTGGGATTCAGTAAGATGGAAGTCTAATCATGTTTTCTTAATTATGGAGTCAGGAAAAATAGAAATGGAAATGTCTGAAGAGTTCATCATTTTATTCCTATGTCTAATAAAATAATTTTTGCCTAGGCTGCAGTAATTTATCCTGGTCAGTTGACAGGTCCTGTGAAGAGAAAGATTTGTCCATATAGATGGATTTTAATTGAATAATTATACAGACAGTGGATAGGGTTTGTTGGGTTTGGTTTTTGTCTTAAAGCCCCTTCCTTTTGCCCTGTCTTTTCAGAACTTTTCAAGATTTAACAACAGATGATTTATAGCCTTTTTTGCCCCCCAAATGTGTGTTTGGTTTCTATACCAGAATCTACTATCAAAACTATTATTTTACTTTTAAAGTGATTATATTGAACTTCAAAGTACAAACAAGGAGCTCAGACCAGCTGAAAATAATTTTAGTTTTCATCTGGACACTTTGACTGGTTGCAAAGACTGATTTCTCCTATGTGAATTACTGATGAATGTGGAAATACTCTTTGGAAATACGGCTTTTCTGGTGATCCCACGTCCAAAGTTAGGAATTATGAAGGAATTTGCCAAGCAGAGAAAATGCTTAGGCTATTTCTGCTAACATTAGGTTATGCTGATGGCAAATTAAGTATGTTGGAATAATGCATGTAGAAAATCAGTTATTTGTAAGCATTTGATATTTTTCCTAAATACTTTTTTTTCTTTGAAAATTTTAGTTGCGTTTGTGGAGTTATGTTAGCCAGAATTGTAATAAGCAGTGCACTACTCGGGTACAAGTAATTGACTTCTGTAAAAAGGAGCAATACACATCTGCAGTCCTTTTTGTTCTTTGAAGATTTATGACTAACTGCACATGAGGTAATTTTGTTGGTGGCAAAACTTGATATTAAAGGGAAGGGAGCATTTTCATGGTCATGCTAAGCTGAAAGTAATGTAGGTTGCTGCCAAAATTGGGGTTCAGTCCCTTGCCTTGGCTAGCACAAGCCTTTCTGGTTGCATGGTGAGCTAGATCAGGGAGCTGGTGCAAGGGGTTGCTTGGGGTTTTCTTTCCACTGGATTAGTTGTCTGATGGTAATCCCAGAGGCTCACATGTATAAGCAACAAGAAAAAAAATGCAGGGAAAAGATATATCAGGTTCTAAGGCAGCTACCCCTTCCATTGACATGTTGCTTAAAAATTACACTAGATTACAGTATGAGTTGGGTGATCTCCTTGAAAGGCTTCCAGTCATCATTACCAGAAGGGAGATTGGTCTCTGGTAGCTCCTACGTGCCAAATCCATTAAGTATTAATGGATTTTTGTTGGATATTGAGGGGGAAGGGGAAATACTCATTGTGTTTTACTGTACTGAGATACCTGTTAACTGTCAACAGGGTTTCCAAGCAGTGAAAAATGATACTGGTGATGTACAAACTGGAATTTTGAAAATGTGGGTTGTCCTGGATCAAACAAACAAAACTACTTTCCTTAACGGCCAGGAAACTACAGCTTTTTTGCTGAGGGATTTTTTTTCCATATAAACCCTTTATGTATTGAAGTAAATCTCCCAGAGAGTTTTGCAAGAATTGCATGATATGCCTGTCTTGGTACATGGAGGGAAGGGTTGTTTGGTTTCTCTTATTTTGTTTTCAGGAAGTTCACCAGCTGATTCCTAGGTCATACTTGGGTTTGGTTCCATTTGTGACTCAGCCCTTTGGGCCTGTGTTGTAAATGATGGAGACTGGCAGCTTGAATAGGCTTCCTATGCAGTGTTGGTCATTGCTGTCCTAATTGTTCTCTCTGGAAAATCTCAGTATTGAAGGGACTTGAACACAAAGTAGAGACAGTCGTGTTGCTTGTAACGTTTGCAGGCTGGTGAGAGCCTGTGCACAGAGATACTGCATTCCGGGGAGGGGGGGCTGTGTTTTAATGCCCACAGCCTGTAGTAATAGTCATCTTGTTGTGCAAATATTTAGGCTACTTCTGGTGCAGAGTATAAGGATGTCCTACAAAATGAAGGCTTGGGGAATATTTGGAAGATCCTTTAAAAGGAATGAGACTTCAAAGGACTGATGTCAGTTATCATCTGTTCATCATATTTGAATTTCTTATGTTGTTAGCTGCGGATTATCTTTAGAGCACTGGATTAGCCCATGCTTGTTGGTTTGTTGGTGGGGTTGTTTTATATACTGTAGGTCGTTGTGGTGGATGTTTAATGAGTATCCCTTCTTCACACTGTTCCCTGAACTACTCAGTTTTCGGTCTGATAAGCCTAGATCTCTACACATTAAAGAATTTTGTGTGCTCTTCAGAACTAAAATAGGAGCAGGGCTGGACTGTTGCTGGATCAGACGTGCAAGAAATAAGCACATCAACATATTGGGTGTCATCAGAACCTCCTTAATAGGAACTGAAACTCTTTAGGATGAATACATTGCAATACAACTTATATCGGATATAGCTCACATCCACAGAGCGAGTGCCATTGTGGATGAAATGGAACTGCTTTTAGCATCTGCCACTGTCAATTCCCTTTGGTGAGCGATGGGTGAGGAGTGCTGCGCTCCAGCAGCAGTAGACTGTTTTCTGCCTTTCAGAAAAAAGTTCTTTTGATGTTGCCAATTCAAAAGACAACAACTCCTATTTCTTGTTTAAAAAAAAACAGCCTAGTTTTGAATCCAATACACTTGATCTCTATGTGTCCTGTCACTTTTATTTTAGGTTTCTGCAAATACTTCAGTTTTATCCTGCTCAAGGATGGCAAATATGTGATGTGAGTGCCAGAAATGACAACTCCTTTTTCTTCTTTTTGTGTTCGAAACTTTTTGCGGAATCAGAGCAGCTAGAGTGTAGCTTTATAATTCAACAGTCTTTCAGTATTCATTCTTTGTCTGTATTTATTGTGGTTAATATTAAAGATCAGGCATTGTCATGCACCACAACAAAGTTGTTACTTCTTCATTCCACACACGAGAGTGTGGAATTTGATATACTGAATTGAAAAAAAATACATTAGTCTTGACTGGTTTAGCAGAAATTGATATTCCTGGATGTTTTTCCTTTGCATATTGCAGTTCACTTTTACTGCCTTTCTCATTTAAGAGACTGGACACTTAAGGGGTCTGAATCTCTAGACTGTAGTTTTGCTGTATAGCACTCGACAAATTATGGTCTAGAACTTGAGCTTTGTGTCTCCATATATTGGTTATAAATGTTGAAGATTATATTTTGCACTGTAATCAACAGGTAAAAATTCAGCCCATGGTAATAAGAATACTGTAACAGGGTAGGAATTTTGACTCTTGAACTCCAGACTAGAAACCAAGCCAAAACGTAACTCGCGTTCTCACGCGGGTGATTCCTCCTTTTTGTTTCTTGATTAATCATTATATTTGTTTGGTTTATTTTGATTGTAAGTTCATGTGGCAAGGGTTGTCTTGTGTGTGTGTGCGTGCGTGTGTATACCCAGGACAATAAGGTCTGGAGCCCCAGTCTGTGGAAGCTGTAATAAGCAATCACCTTGTTATTGTTTTTCTGGATATCATAATAAAGAGTATCAAATTAAAACTGTGCTTGAATAGTCTGTTACAAAAATGGAGGCATATAAATTGCATCTGGCCTTGCTAACAGCCCAGCAGCATCAGCAAGATACTGGTCGAAGGCAAATGCAGTGTTTTGTTTGAGGATATTCACTTAAACCAGTGAACACAGACAGGTCTGCTTAGGCTGAAGAGGAATGGCTCTGCTGTAACTCAGGCTGGAGCTGGAGTTTGCACAAAGTTATCAGAAGTTCAGGATTGAGTTTCTCACCTGTCAACTTGAGAAACCACATTGGCCCTCCCTCTTGAGAAGGTGAGGCTTGTTTGCTGTACTGCTTGTGCAGCATTGTGTATCCTCTGAGTAGCACTTTCCAGCTTGACAGAGTAACCATAAACTTGGAGAACATCAAGAGCTGTGCTGGGCAGTGTCTGGTGTGGCCTGAGAGCTTGCTCTTCTAGTGTCTCCATACTCTTCAGCTAAACAACTTTTAAAGCCTTCATAGATTCCAGTTTCACTGATACAGAAAGAGTAAAATTTCATCCAGTCTGAAGCTGAGCCTCCACACTGCTCTATTGGTGATCTCAGCAACGTGGTGGGACCTGAGGACTGTACCCAACTTGGGAAAAGTTAGGCTGTTTTTTGGAAACTTTTACCATGAATGTTACTTTCCAAGGGGTTTGATTTGATACATGGTGGAGGGGCTGACTACAGATCCCATGAGCTCTGTATTCGGTTCAGCTCAACACACATCAGATTGGTGCTTTTGAAGAACTATTGAACTACTTAAGTAACCCTTAAAAACCTGCATTTATAACTTGTAAATCCTCAAACTAATTGAATGAAAATGTTAAGTGAAGGTTAGTGTTTCTTGAACACACATCTTGTTCTTGACTTCATTGTTAGACATCATGGCTTAAACTGCAGTTTAAAAAGAAATTTTGTTAGAAAATCAATGGAAGAAATATAATTTTAAGAATCATAACTATCTTGCCACCATGTGTACTTGTCAGGTGACTAAATCTACTATAGGTGGTAAGGACAGGTAGATATTGACAAGTAAGTGGCATCTTGGATGATTGTAACAACTCCTACCTTATCTTTCCCCTGCTGCACCTCCCAGTATCATCATTTCATTCTACTGCCACTTTTGTAGGGATCCAGCAAACACAGATGGGAGGTGGAGCAGATGCAGTCTTAGGAGCCAAATCATGTGATGAGTTTGGGATGTGGGAAAAGCAGCCACTAGAGGCCACCAAAGTCTGTGACAGTTGCTTTTGAATTTGGGTGACTGGTAGCCAGCAAGAATATCTCCTGAGGCCTATGTTTTTGCTGCACTTTTGGCAAAAATTACTTTTTGCCTTTTAAGAATCATTTCTGCTCTAACTCAGAAAACAGAGCATTGAATTAAATTAGACCAAACTCCTTGTAGTTTTGTCATAGTAATAAAAGCCATGTTGTGTTCTGCAGGGCTTGGAAGGTGTCCTTATTTGGCCAGAAGCTACTTCCTCACTTCTGGTTGAGAGAACAGGATGTAGACGTCCAGTATTAAAGCTTTATCTTAACCCAAAAGTGCAACGCCTTAGATTAAAAGCAGCATTGAGAGTACAAAGTAAGCCTTGGATTATATCTACCGTCTGTGATCAGTTTTGTAGACACGTACACAGTGCTGTGGCAGATGCTGATTTCTTTGCTTTAATCCTTGGGGTGGGAGAAAGTATAGAAAACCTGTGCTCTGTATTTCCACTAATTTTTAATGCTTTCAAAACAAAGTTCTTGTTGGAGAAGCTTATAAAACTGTTTCATGCACTGAAATTTCAGCTTTTATCTGCCAATAGGAGACTTGTTTGGTGGGAGTGTTGCTTATGGACATCTCCCTTAGATGCTGCAGAAGCCATATGAAAACTTTGCCTACAGTAATTAAACCAACTTCTCGGAAAATATAAGTCGAAAGTTGCAGTTTACAGATTTTTTTTTACAATAATAAGGAAGTGGTTTGTTCTTTTAGCATGTGCCCCCTTTTATATAGAAGAAAGTGTTTTGGTGTGACATAGGAAAATGGTCTGGTCCCCTAGTTTTTGTTGTTGTCTTTGGGGTAGTTTTATCCTAGTCTGCCCAGAAAAAAAAAATCCTGCCCTGGCTCTGTCTCTTCTGGGTCCTGGAAGGATTGCTTCTGCTGTTGGAAAGCAGTGCAGTGCAGGGAAATCTGTCTCTGGAAGAAAAACAAGAAATACGACTCTCCTTCAGGATTGTCCTGGGACTTTGGTGAAGTCTGGGCAAAACTTTCCTGAAGATCTGGATTTGGGTAGTCCTGATAAGAGATGGCAAAGTATCTGAATTATGTCATGAGCTGTGAACATGCTTTGATTTGTAATTCATTAAATTGATGATGACAGGTTGAGTGTCTGGCTGGCCTAATCATTGGCTTAGTATTGCCACGCTGATCTCTAAGACAGACAATGTGCAAAGCATTAATTTGTGTGGCTCCACATCTATGAAGGTGCAGTTGAAAACGGGTCCCAAGACTTGCAGTGCTTACACTGAGAAGGCACCATGTCAAACATTCTCCTCTTGCTGTGGCTATCACTTCAGAGATGAACAGCTGCACCAAGACCTGCGGGAATTCATCAGGAGCCAGGAGCTGTGATTGTGCTAGAAGCAGTTGATTCCCTCAGGGCTTGAATACATACCCCCTCTCCTCACCACCAAGCCTGCCCTGTTTCAAGAGCTTCAGAGATTTGAAACTGAAGCTTTTTAATTTATAGCAATAAATGCAGCTCAGCACCATGGGGGACATTAGGAACCTCTGAGTATAGGATAGAGTATGCCCTACCCTGAAGAGAATGACGTAAATCATTCTAATTCTTGGCACTGGTATTTAAGTTTTGTTCATAGCATGCCATAAAAAACCTTTTAGACATTGTAAACTGTCTGTTTTGTCAAGAAAAGTCTCAGAAGCTTTCTGGAGGAAAATTTTTAGAAGGTGAAGGAAATGGTTTCTAGAGGCAACATGAATGGTGCTATAGTTCTCTTGACACTTGTTGCTTCTGCTCTCTCACTCTCCCCTCTTCCCCTTCTCTGCCCCCCAAGTCAGGGAAGTCATGACAATGAGCTGCAGTGTAGTTCAAGAGAAACTATGGTTAACCCTGGAGGTTCCTCTTACAGGGGACCCCGCCAGACTTCTTGTCTCCACAGCTGTAGGGCTCCCTTGCAAAGAGCTGCTATCCTGGACAAACCCAGAAGACCACGTGCTCCAGTGTCTGGCATTCATGGCCCTTTAGGGAGAAGATGCAAAACTGTGAGAAGGGTCCTGCTGTTTCATCTCCCCAGTTTCTGGCAGTCATCAGTTTACGGACTTCTGAAGCATCTGGTGCATCAAAACTGTAGGGGTTTTTTTATTTTATTTTTAATTTTTTATAGTCACCAGTGGAAGCAGTCTACATACATTTGTATAATCCCTTTTGAACCCATTTAAATACTTGGCATCCACAACACTCAATAAGTTACACAATTTAACTATGCCTTGTTTGAAAGAAGTATTTCCTGTGGCTTGTGCTTTAAACCTGATGATTTCCTTGTGTGAGTCTCAAGTAGTGAATAATCATTCCCTCTTCATCTCTCTCGTACTATGCTTGATTTCATAGACCTCTCTGTTTCAAGCCTGAGGATTCCCTGTCTATTTAGTATTTTCTTGTGCAGAAATGGTTCTGTACATATGATTATCTGTGCTATCTTTTATGTAACTTTTCTAGTTCACCTAAATGCTTCATTTTTGGCCTTATTTTAAGTTTATTGGGAAGTAGATCCTGACAGTTCATTCACTTCTAGATTTTTAACCGCTTTTTTCTGACGCACATTTCACATCATAGAATCACAGAATGGTTTGGGTTGGAAGGGACCTTAAAGATCATCTAGTTCCAACCCCCCTGCCATGGGCAGGGACACCTTTCATTAGACCAGGTTGCTCAGAGCCCCATCCAGCCTGGCCTTGAACATCTCCAGGTATGGGACATCCACAACTTCTCTGGGCAGCCTATTCCAGTGCCTCACCACCTTCACAGTAAAGAATATCTTCCTAATATCTGAACCTACTCTCTTTTGACTTGAATCCATTTCCCCTGTCATTACACACTCTTGTAACAAGTTCCTCTCCAGCTTTCCTGCAGGCTCCCTTCAGGTACTACAAGGCTGCAATTAGGTGATCTTGAAGCCTTCTTTTTCCCAGGCTGAGTAAACCCAGTTCTCTCAGTCTCTCCTTGTAGGAGAGGTGCTCCATCCTGCTAGTTATCTTGGTGGCCCTTCTGTAGACTCACTCCGACAGGTCAATGTCTTTCCTGTCCTGGGGACTCCAGAACTGGATGTGGTATTCCATGTGGGTTCTCATGAGAGCAGAGTAAAGGGGCAGAATCACCTCCCTTGACCTGCTGCCCATGCTGCTTTTGATGCAGCCCAGGACACAATTGGCTTTCTGGGCTGCAAGCACACATTGCTGGCTCACGTCCAGCCTTTCATCCACATAATCACGGAAGATGCTGAGTTGGAAGGGACCCACAAGGATCCAACTCCTTGCCCTACATGGGACCATCCCCAAGAGTCACACCATCTGCCTGAGAATATCCACCACCATCCCCAAATCCTTCTTGGCAGGGCTGCTCTCAATCTTTTAATCCCCCAGCCTGTATTGGCACCGGGGGGGGGGTTGCCCCAACCCAGGTGCAACACCTTGCACTTGGTCTTGATAAACCTCATGAGATTTCCATGGGCCCACTTCTCGAGTTTGCCCAGGTCCCTCTGGATGGCATCCCATCTTAGGTAGTTTTGCTGCAGGAGTTTACACATCAGTTGAGTTGCACAACTGTATTCCTAGAATGCTGCAATATTCATTTTAGGACTTTGATCAGTGATACAATAGGGAAAATAAACAGTAACTTACCAATACAGAAGTGAAAGACTTTATCTTGAATGCAGCCTGGTCTTCCTCAACTATGCTCACTCTCTGGTGGCCTCTTGGTTTTGTCTCTAATGTAGTG